AGCCAGAGCTGCGCCTGGTGCTGATGAGCGCCACGGGGGACAACCAGCGCTTCTCGCAGTACTTCGGGGACTGCCCCGTGGTCAAGGTGCCGGGCTTCATGTACCCAGTGAAGGAGTATTACCTGGAGGAGATCCTGGCCAAGCTGGGCCGGCACCGACACCGGCACTACGAGGTGAAGGTGAGCGCGCAGCCCGGAGCCTGCTCTGCCCTGGGAGGGCCAGAGGGGAAGAGACTTGAGCTGGGGCGATTCCTTCCTGCCACACCTACCCCGGTGCCCTGGGCTCGCCAGCTACGGGCCGCGTGTGAATCCCAGCCCAGACCCCCTGAGCTTCCCCGTGGGCTTGGTGAGATCCCACTGCTAATCCTCTGAAACGGGGATCTGAGTTCAGACTCGCCTCTCGACCCCTGGGCTGGGGGACGCTAGCGCCCCATGGGCTTGGTGAGATCCCACTGCTAATCCTCTGAAACGGGGATCTGAGTTCAGACTCGCCTCTCGACCCCTGGGCTGGGGGACGCTAGCGCCCCATGGGCTTGGTGAGATCCCACTGCTAATCCTCTGAAACGGGGATCTGAGTTCAGACTCGCCTCTCGACCCCTGGGCTGGGGGACGCTAGCGCCCCATGGGCTTGGTGAGATCCCACTGCTAATCCTCTGAAACGGGGATCTGAGTTCAGACTCGCCTCTCGACCCCTGGGCTGGGGGACGCTAGCGCCCCATGGGCTTGGTGAGATCCCACTGCTAATCCTCTGAAACGGGGATCTGAGTTCAGACTCGCCTCTCGACCCCTGGGCTGGGGGACGCTAGCGCCCCATGGGCTTGGTGAGATCCCACTGCTAATCCTCTGAAACGGGGATCTGAGTTCAGACTCGCCTCTCGACCCCTGGGCTGGGGGACGCTAGCGCCCCATGGGCTTGGTGAGATCCCACTGCTAATCCTCTGAAACGGGGATCTGAGTTCAGACTCGCCTCTCGACCCCTGGGCTGGGGGACGCTAGCGCCCCATGGGCTTGGTGAGATCCCACTGCTAATCCTCTGAAACGGGGATCTGAGTTCAGACTCGCCTCTCGACCCCTGGGCTGGGGGACGCTAGCGCCCCATGGGCTTGGTGAGATCCCACTGCTAATCCTCTGAAACGGGGATCTGAGTTCAGACTCGCCTCTCGACCCCTGGGCTGGGGGACGCTAGCGCCCCATGGGCTTGGTGAGATCCCACTGCTAATCCTCTGAAACGGGGATCTGAGTTCAGACTCGCCTCTCGACCCCTGGGCTGGGGGACGCTAGCGCCCCATGGGCTTGGTGAGATCCCACTGCTAATCCTCTGAAACGGGGATCTGAGTTCAGACTCGCCTCTCGACCCCTGGGCTGGGGGACGCTAGCGCCCCATGGGCTTGGTGAGATCCCACTGCTAATCCTCTGAAACGGGGATCTGAGTTCAGACTCGCCTCTCGACCCCTGGGCTGGGGGACGCTAGCGCCCCATGGGCTTGGTGAGATCCCACTGCTAATCCTCTGAAACGGGGATCTGAGTTCAGACTCGCCTCTCGACCCCTGGGCTGGGGGACGCTAGCGCCCCATGGGCTTGGTGAGATCCCACTGCTAATCCTCTGAAACGGGGATCTGAGTTCAGACTCGCCTCTCGACCCCTGGGCTGGGGGACGCTAGCGCCCCATGGGCTTGGTGAGATCCCACTGCTAATCCTCTGAAACGGGGATCTGAGTTCAGACTCGCCTCTCGACCCCTGGGCTGGGGGACGCTAGCGCCCCATGGGCTTGGTGAGATCCCACTGCTAATCCTCTGAAACGGGGATCTGAGTTCAGACTCGCCTCTCGACCCCTGGGCTGGGGGACGCTAGCGCCCCATGGGCTTGGTGAGATCCCACTGCTAATCCTCTGAAACGGGGATCTGAGTTCAGACTCGCCTCTCGACCCCGGGCTGGGAGTCGCTAGCGCTCTGTGGGCTTGGTGAGATCCCACTGATAATCCTCTGAAACAGGGATCCGAGTTCGGACTCTCCTCTCGACCCCTGGGCTGGGAGTCGCTAGCGCCCCGTGGGCTTGCCTGCAGGTCAGTGCGTGGAGACTGAGGGCGCTGCCGGCCAGTGTCAGTTAGCTAAAGGACACATGCCAGGAAGTCAGGACACGCCAGGGAGGTTTGAAGCCACCCCCAGCTCTGGTTCTCTCTGGCCCCTTAGAGGAAATGTCTGCGGAGTGTCCTGGCAGCAGACCAGTGGGTTAAGTGTAGATCCCCTGCCTGCCTGAAGTCGCCTTTCCCTGGATCTGTCCTCGCATGTGCTGCAACTGGCCCTGTTTTATTAACTCCGCCCCCCCAGGAATGGTTCCCTACGTATCCCTCGTAATACTGGTTGGCTTCCTGGGGTGCGTGTCCCCCCCACTAAGCCCGTTACTCTTTCTGCTTCCGGGACCCTCTTTAAAGGCCTTTCCCACTCCAGTTGCCTGCCCCACTCTTCTCAAAAGCTGCTGCCACTTGATTAATTCACTGATGTCCCAGTCCCATAGGGCACCAGCCTGCCCCCACCCCAAAGAGCCCTGATTTAAAGGAGCCAGTCTGCTATGTAATGCTGATGCTTACAAACCCCTGCAAGCTCACCGTGCCCCTGGCTGGAGAAGGGAGATGGGACCCGCACTGCACAGGAGGTGGTGACCGGACTGAGTGTGTTGCAGAAAAGCCCAAACCTCGTTCTGGGCGGCATTAACGCGAGTGTTGGGAGCAAGACGCGAGACGTCGTAATTCCGCTCTGCTCTGCACTGGTCAGGCCTCAGCTGGAGTCTTGTGTCCAGTTCAGGGCCCCACATTTCCGGAAAGATGTGGAGAAATGACAAGGGGTCCAGAGAATGGCAACAAAACTGATGAAAGGTCTAGAGAACAGGAGGGATGAGGGAAGACTGAAAGAATTGGGCTTGTTTAGTTTGGAAAGGGGAGGACTGAGGGGGGATGTGAGAGCGGTTTTCAAGTATCTAAAAGGGTGTCACAAGGAGGGAGAAAAATTATTCTCTTTAAAGTCTGATGCTAGGACAAGTAGCAAGGGAGGTTTAGGCTGGACATTAGGAAAAAGTTCCCAACTGTCCGGGTGGTCAGACACTGGAATAAGTTGCCCGGGGGGGTTGTGGATATTTAAGAGCCGGTTGGACAGACGCCGGTCAGGGATGGTCTAGATGGTGCTTGGTCCTGCCATGAGGGCAGCAGGGAACCGGACTTGATGACCTCTGGAGGTCCCTGCCAGGTCTATGATTCGGTGCCTAAATGTAAAGCTCCTGGAGTTCTTGGCTCATAGTCCTGTGCCCAGACCACTAGCCCAGGGGTCTGCCACGGGAGGGGGATGCTCCAGGACGGGTAGCGCCCTCCCGGGCCCGTTGGGCGTGGCCACGGCCTCGGAACTCACGCAGCCTCCTGTGTTTCTCAGCAATCCGATGACGAATGTGTCCTGGACCTTGAGCTGATCACGGACCTCGTGCTCCAGATAGATGCCCATGGAGAGCCAGGTAGGTGCTGCTTTACCTTCTCCCTTGCCAGGGGGCTTGGACGCTGGGGAAAGAGCAGCTGGAGCCTGGACCCTTTGCCAAGGCGGGTCAGAGACACAAAGCAGGGCTGGCTCCTGTCTTTCTCCTGAGGGTGCTGGGCCGGTCCGAGTCCTTCATCCTCGTATTGTCAGGGTCTCGCGGGCGCCTGGGGCTGCGGGGATACCCCGCGTCGGGCAGGCACCGAGGCTGCAGGAAGACACGGAGGAGCTTGTCAGCAAAGGGTGCAGTCCAGGGCAGCCTTCCAGGCTGCATAGCCCAGAGCCGTAACAAGAGGGAACCACAGAAGTGGATTCAAATGGGGTGGCACTCCCAGGTCTCCTCGCGGCTCGTGGGTAGCCTGACCTGGGAATGCCCATGCGATGTCACATCGTGTCTGGGAGAGTGGCGGCCCTGCTTGCTTGAGGCCCCTGATGAGCAGCGTGGCGTCTGGGCACGGGGGGTACGGCACTGGCAGATCTTGGCACTTCTCCACCTGGCTTGAGAGGTGCCACGTAGCCAGCCACAGCGGCCTTCGTACCTGTACCCTGGGGCCTGGCGTCCCCACAGGACAGCCGAGCGCTCTGGTTACCTCTTGTAAGGTCGAGCACCCCACAGCACTCTGCGCAGGAGGCTGCCTCTGGAAGGAGGAAGGCTGGTGTGAAGCTATCTGGAGGAAGTCTGGCTGTTTCCAAGCCATTCAGCTCCGTTCCCTGTCGTGACACTGACCGGGGGTCCCAGGGCGCCTGGTGCAGATGTGTCTCTGTGGCAGAATACCCCGAGAGCCGGCCGGAAGCAAGGGGCTGGTTGTCTTGTGTCCAAGGACGTCCCCCTCTGCACTCTCACTCCCTGGGTCCCTGAGCTCGGTTGGGTGCCTCACGCGGGGCTGTGTCCGCAAGCCGCAGGGACGATTAGTCCCGGTAGGTCCGGCCCGCAGGCGTGGGAACCTGGGAGTCTCCTGTCCAGGGTTCTGGGGCGAGCTGGGGAACCACTGGGGTTCTCCAGGACTCCCTGGGGCGTGGCAGGACTGGCCCAGAAGCAAGCGTCTGTCTTCAGGTGGGAAAAGAGCCTCATGCATCTCCGAGGAGCCTGTTCTGCTCCTGATTCTTTGCAGGCGGGATCCTCTGCTTCCTTCCTGGCTGGCAGGAGATCAAAGGGGTGCAGCAGCGCCTGCTGGAGACGCTGGGCTCTCAGAACAGCCGCTACCTCGTCTTACCAGGTGAGATGCCTGGGGGGTGTGGGCCCAGTGGTGGCCCTGTCCCGTCACTGCATAGAGGGCAGATGGCCCATCGCCCTACACAGGCCACGCTGCTGCTGCTGAGGCCTGTGGGGAGGTGAAGGGGACGGATTGACTCGGTCCGCTGGGGTGGAGCTGTGGGCAGGGTAGCTCCGTGCTGTGGCCAGGGGAGGCTCTGTGGGTGTGTTCCAGCGTGCGGAGCTGTCGGGGCGAGGGAGCTGGGCGGCGGGTGACGCCCGTACTGCCAGGTGCAGCGCCGCCCTGTGAGTGCCACTTCGGTCTCATCCAGATGGGGTATTTTCCAATCAACGGGGCTCTGAGGCCGCCGCTGGCCCCCACCGGCTGCAGCCTGCTGGGCGTGCGCCCGGGCACTGAGCCACGAGGAACGCGTGGGCTGGGGAGGAATGCCAGGCCTTTGGCGCAGCCCCCCGGTCGGGTGGCACTAAGCTATCGAGTGGGGCCACAAGGGAGAGCGCCGGTATCTCTAACACGGGGGAGCGCGGCGTCTCGGGAATGGCCCCGCGCGCTCGGCTTGCTCTAGGCCGGTGGCCTGAGCAGTTTCAAATGGAGGCGCAGCCCCTTGGGAAAGCTTCGCCCCAGGCGGGGTGTTAAGTAGCGAGTCGCCGATGGAATTTCCATCGATTAGTCGATAAGCACCTCCGCGCTCTGCGGCCCCAGTCCGAGGTGGAACGCCGAGTGGAAGTCCCGCTGACTCCGAGCTCCGCACTGGCACTTCCGCTTGGTGCGTTTCAAAGCGGCAGCGCCACCTGGAGCCCGGGTCAGCTGGGGACCCCACCTGGCGTTTCAAAGCGGCAGCTCCCCCGGGACCCCCGGGCTCCTGCGGCGCTGCCACTTTGAAATATCTCCCTCTGTCTGATAGGCAGCAAGGGGGGTGGAGCAGCTATCCTGTCGCCTAGTCCGCCACATCCCCAGCCCCCAGCCGCTCACAGACCCCTTAGACATTGCCTGCAGAGCAGAGGTTGAAAGCCACTGATCTAGGGAGCCACGGCCGGGCAGGAAGGGCTCAGCTGTCCAGGTCCATTGAAACCAGCCCTTCCTATCTGCAACCCCTGGCGTGTTTTGCCCTCTGCTGTTTCCCTTCCCCGGGCCTGACTCTGCCGCAGGTTGGCATTGGGACTGCTGGAGGGTGCAGCGGAGGGCCAGGTAAGCAAGCTGGTCGGCAGTTGTCAGGCCGGCGTTAGAAACCACTGTCTGTCCGTGCGCTGGCCGTGACTGTCCCCCGCCTCCCTGGGGGCTGAGAGAAGGTGCCACGTGGAGGCATGAGCAGTGTGGCGCTTGTCTGAGGAGATCGGGCCGGGCTGCCTCTCCCCAGCTGTGGTGCGGGGGGCGCAGGGCTGGGCTGACGCTGCCCTTTCCTTCCAGTGCACTCCAACATCCCCATGATGGACCAGCAGAACATCTTCCAGCGGCCCCCGCCCGGCGTCAGGAAGATCGTCCTGGCCACCAACATCGCCGAGACCTCCATCACCATCAACGACATCGTGCACGTGGTGGACAGCGGCACGCACAAGGAGGAGCGCTATGACCTGCAGGGCTGGGCTGACGCTGCCCTTTCCTTCCAGTGCACTCCAACATCCCCATGATGGACCAGCAGAACATCTTCCAGCGGCCCCCGCCCGGCGTCAGGAAGATCGTCCTGGCCACCAACATCGCCGAGACCTCCATCACCATCAACGACATCGTGCACGTGGTGGACAGCGGCACGCACAAGGAGGAGCGCTATGACCTCAAGACCAAGGTGCCGGCCCCGTCCGCGCCCGGCGTGCGGCCTGCTTCTCCGTGGGCCGCGCGGCAGCGGGTGGGCCGGGCTTAACGCAGCGTTCGAGATGCCCCTGCCGGCCACTCGGGGCTTGACTTGCTGGCTCGCGTTGCACACGAGCGCCACAGAGCAGGGATAATGTCCCCTCCCCCCGTCTCTCTCAGAAGCGAGTCAAGCAAGACTTGGTCGTATGGTGTAGGGGCTTGATTCCCCAGAGCACGGGGGCTGAGCCGGCTCCCGCCCAGTGCACAGCCCGTCCCGGCAAGCGGACCTGCCTTTCCCCGCGTGCCCCAAGAAACACCCTGCACAAACCCGGCCCTGTAGGGCTCCCTGCCTTGCCGGGACACTCCCCTGGGAGCCCAACCAGGCCGGCTGCCGGGGCCCCGCT